ATTTCAATTGTTCAAATAAAATTAGAATTTATTAATTTTGGTACTTAATTAGTCTATGGTCTCTGTGGGACGATACTCTATTTTCATCATTATATTACTTGAACAGACTAGTACACTTGCTAGAGTGGAATTAGCTCATCAGTAATCTTTGTGAGATTAGTATATGGGAGAAAATATTCATCAAAAGCTACATGTCTAGATATGTATATACGTTGAGTGGTAGGATGCAAACACTTATAACCTTTGTGGATTGGACTGTATCCTATGAACACACAAGGTAAAGATCTAGGTTGAAGTTTGTTTGTAGCATAGTCTTTAAGGTATGGAAAACAACGACATCCAAATACTTTTAACATAGAATAATCAAGAACCTTACCATAAAGAAGAAAATAAGGACTCTTCTTATTCAAAATAGGTGTAGGCATTTTATTTATAAGAAAAACTGCAGTAGAAAAATTGTCAGTCCAATAACAAGGTGGCATATTAGCATGAAGTAACATTTTCAAACCTGTCTCAACTATGTGCCTATGCTTTCTTTCTGCTACACCGTTCTGTTCAGGAGTTCTAAGACAAGATACTTGTAATTTAATGCCACATTCAGCTAAGAGATTGAGAAAACTCTTACTCGAAAATTCTCCACCACCATCACACTAGAACACTTGTATGTTCTTGTTAAATTGTGTTGCTATCATTCTTTGAAATTTCTGAACACATCAAAAAAGTCAGATTTCTTGTGAAGTGGATAAAACCAAGTATACCGTGATCATCTACAAAAATTACATAGTAAATAAACTGGTTAGTGGATTGAATTGGAGAGGGGCCCCATAAATCACAGTGTACTTTATGGAATAAGAATTCAGTTCTTTCATTTTTTCTATTAAAGGGTAGCTTACAACTTTTCCCCATTTGACGACCAGAACATAAATGAGGAGTTTTGGTCCAGTTTGAAACTGCAATGTTATTCTTAGAAGCTAGAGTCCTTAAAACATTAGAATTGGGATGTCCTAATCTCTGATGCCAAATAGAATCTGAGGCCTTATTGGAAATAGCTGTTAAAGCATGTTTTTCTCCTTCTTTCAGTGTATATAATTGTCCTTTCCTAGTTCCTTTTGCCACCACTGCTTGAGTTATTTGATCCTTAATCACAAAACCATTAGATGAGAATTCAAAAATATAAGGATTTTCATCAGTAACTTTGCTTGCAGAAATAAGGTTTTTCTTAAGATTAGGAACAACAAGCACATCATTAAGTTTTAATCTTCCAAGAGAAGCAGTACCTATATGTGAGATATGTAATGGAGTGCCATCACCTATAAAAACCTTCTGATTTCCATTATAAGGCCTTTTATAATAAAGTTTACCTGAATAAAAAATCATGTTGTCGGAGGCTCCAGTATCCACATAGTAGTTTTCATCTTTATCCTTCACAATGAATGTCGCAAGTGCTTGTGATAACTCCTCGCTTTGATAAGCATGATCAAAACGATACCAGCATTTTAATGCTGTATGCCCTGCAATACCACATATTTGACATGGATTCTCACCTTTTTGCGTCATAGCTTTTTGCTAGAATTTTTGAGGCAAAACTTGCTGGGGTGTTGGATTGTTATTCACTAAATTGCTTCTGTTGTTGCTGGTCCAATTGGTATTGCTGGTCCAATTGTTATTGTAATTTCCAGCTTGGACAAATCCTCGTCCTCTAGAATTGAAATGCTTGCCACCATATCCTCTGCCTCGATGACCTCTCCCCCTTTGTGCCACAAAAACTTGAGAATATGCAGGAGTTTTATCTTTGCTTTCTAGCTCTATAACTTGAATATCCCTCTCATTATTTAGTAGCCTTGTACTGTATTGATTGAAGGTGGGATATGGTTCCTTTGACAGGACTGCCAGGTTGTAAGGCTGATATCTTATCCCTACAACTTGAGATAACTGAAACACTTTATCTAGGTCATCTAGAGGCTTGCGGATTGCAGCTAGCTTGTCACAAACTCCTTTGAACTTCCTAATAAAATCCTCAAGAGACTCACTATCTCCTCTTTTGATTGCCAATTGTCCTTTGAGATGAAGCTCTTATTCTTTGGTTGAGGCGAGATAATGCTCCTTGAGGCATTTCCAGATTTGAAAGGCTGTATCACAGCTAACGACCAAGCTAAGTGCTTCCTCATTCATAGTTCCAAGTAGCCAACTTGTCAACAATCCATCATTATTTAGCCATATATCATAATCTGGATTTGATTCTTCTTTACCGTCCTTGGTAATGGTAGTTGCTGGAGCCTCTTCTTCAAGATGCTGTAGAAGTTGGGCACTCCTAATAAGTGGGAAAATTTGAGATTTCCAGAGTAGGAAGTTGGAACTTGACAGCTTGACTGAGACAAAGCTTGCCATTTGATGGAAGCTTTGGATGGTCAGCTTGTTCTTGTTTTCAGCCGTAAAGTCAATATGGTAATTTCTGGCTTAATAGGAATGGAAAAGGTAAAGGTGGTTCAAGAAGGAACAGGATATTATTAATGAAGAAACAAAGTATTCAGATGCAGATTGTGACCTGCTCTGATACCATGAAGAAAACTTATGAAAAGAGAGAACTTTGAGTATACTGAATTGTATTCGATCTGATGAATGACTACATACATATGTTAGTATATATATATACAAGACATTCTAAGTATATGCCTAAAATTTTGGT